AGAGAGAGAGAGAGAGAGAGACAGACAGACAGACAGACAGACAGACAGACAGACAGAGACAGAGAACAGATACAGAGTTTAGGGTGGCAAGTGCACCTCACGTCTAAAAGAAGTCATGCATTGGAGCACAGAATGAATGCTGTACTTACAAATACCTTTTTGCTATGTCTAACAAGTGATGTAGTGACCTGGTAGTGATTTCATAAATGATAAACAACAACTAAAACTACTCCTACTTTTAGTGCCTTAATGACTTTAAATTTTTTTTTTTTTTTTGTCTTTTTGAGACAGGGTCTCCCTGTAGTCCCAGCTGTCCTGGGACTCACTATGTAGACCAGGCTGGCCTTGAACTCACAGAGATCTACCTGCCTCTGCCTCCTGAGTGCTGGGATTAAAGGCATGTGCCACCATGCCTGGCATGATTTTTAAATTTTTATGTTTATTACTCACAGTAGATTATTCAATGTATTGGTTGATTTCAATATTTTTTTTTCTGAATTTAAACTATTTCTTCATTTAAGTATCATATAGTTCAGGCTGACTTTGAACTCTCTTTGTAGCCAGGGATGACTTTGAATTTCTGATTCTCTTGCTTTTACCTCCTGGAGTTTTGGGATTACAGGCTTTGGGATTACATCACTCAGGATGTTATGTGCGGCTGAGAATGAGGGTGTCTTGCACGCTAGGTGAGCACTGTACCAACTGAACTGCATCCTCTTCCCTTCTTACCTAATTCAAGAAGCCGAGTATAATAGTCTATATTAAAAATATGTATCACAGCTTCTCTGCTCAGATAAATTAATGCATTTTTGCAGGTATGGGAACGTTGAACAGAAATCTGAATCTTTGTTGGGCTGGAGAGATGGCTCAGTGGTTAAGAGCACTGACTGCTCTTGCAGAGGACCCAGGTTTGATTCCCAGCACCCACATGGAAGCTATGAACTGTCCTTGACTACAGTTTCAGGGGAATCTGACGCCCTCTTCTGACCTCTGCAGCTCTGCATGACATGTGTGTACTCACAAACATGCAGGCAATACACTCATACATATAAAATAAAAATAAAAAATATATATTAAAAAAAGAAATCTGAAATATCTGTATAACTCCAATGAATATAGGTAGAGTAGAAAACTGCAATTTTAAGTGGTAAAAGGAGAATGTATGTTGATAGCACCTGTGGATAAATTAGAAGCACGAAATATAGCAGTCTTCACACAGTGGAGGGGCTGGGGTGCAGCTCAATAAGCAGAGTGTTTTCCTAGCATGCAAGAAGTCCTGGGTTCAGTTCCCAGCAAAGCACAAGTTGTATGTGGTGCCACATGTCTGTAATCTGAGCACTGGGAGGTAGAGACTAGAGGATCAGAAATGGAAGGTCATCTAGCTGCCTAGCACTTTCTAGGCTAGATGGGGATACATGAGACCTTTTCAAAGCAATAACAAAACCAAAGAGCAAACAATGTCATATAGTCTAAAGAGCATGAGAAATCATTTTAAAAATTGAAATTGCACAGTTTCATCTGAAGTGAACATACAAAAATTAATATGCTGTATGCTTTGATTGTGATTTTTTTTTGACTTGAGGGAAATCGCTTTGGAAGAGATAATCTCTAGAAGGAGATTAAAGTAATGTAATATAGTTAGTAAGTAGATGAAAGCAAAATATGAAATTTCTACAGGTGTGAGAATCATCCAAAGGGGGTTAAGAGTCAGCCCAAAAAG